CTTTACTCTTTACTTTACTCTTTACTTTACTTTTTACTTTAGTGTAGCTGGAGTTTGTTTACAACAATTACATGCAGGGTCCAGGTCAGCTTTGATTTTGGACATCTTGTCTTTAGACCAGTGCAGCCAGTGCACCACCTTGAATTGAATTACAGCATGTCTCAGATTGAAGATGAGTAAATGTTCTTAATGATCTTTCGCCAGATTGAGTCTGATATGGATTCCTCCAAGTATGTTTCATATTTCAGTTTAAGGGAGTCCAAACTGGTCTCATGGTATGAAATGAGCAGTGTATAGATCTTACTAAGGGCCCCCTTGGTATCAGACCTGCATTCCAAAATCTTAACCACAAAATGTTTAGAGGAGTACAAAGGAAAACAATCAGTTAAACCTCACAAAATGTCTCAGCTGCAAATACTTGAAAAACTGTGACGTGGATATTAAACTTCTTTACCAGCTGCTCAAAATAGGCAAATTTATCATCAACATATAGATCATATAATGAATGCACTCCCCTCAAAACCCAGGTGTCAAAAGCTATATCAGCTACTGAGGGATCTCTTGTAAATATTTGTCCCACAGCAGATCTGAAGGAACTAAATAAGTAAATGAGGCCCTTTCTAATGCCACCCAACTAGGAGAAGATGTATCCACCCAACCAGAATACAAGAGCTCTGATATTAGCTGCCCAGTAATAGAGCATGAAATTAGGAAGAGACATGACTCCAAGCTTGCGGGGGAGATGTAAGACCCTCTTAGCAATCTGTGGATGCTTTCTATTCCAAATAAACAAAGATAACTGGCTGTTCAAATTGGTAAAGAAGGATTTAGTAAGGAAGATTGGCAGGCTCTGAAACAGGTATAGAAATTTATGTAGGATATTCATATTTACAGAGATAATTCTGCCCCCCAGAGTGTGAGGCAGGGATTGTCATCTAGCAATGTCCTGTGTTAGGTTCGCCATGAGAGGAAGATAATTGGTTTTATTGCAGTTCTTATGATCTCAAGTTACCCAGATCCCAATGTACTTAATTTTTTTTAACTAATTGTAAAATTTATGGTGTCTAAGATTTTTTTTTCTATAAAGGTCACAGGCATCAGCTTACTCTTTTAAAGATTAGCTTATATCCAGATATTTTCCTGAATTTTTGAAGGAAAGTAAGTAATGCAGGAATGCTGGTAAGAGGATCTGATGAATACAAAAGCATGTCATCTGTATATAAAGAAACTTTGCGCTCTGTACCTAATCGATTCATCCTCTTAACGATGGAGTTTTGCTGTAGAGCTGCAGCTAGTGGTTCTATCACTAACGCAAATAGAAGTGGTGAGAGTGGGCACCCCTCTCTCGTACCTCATTGCAGTTCAAAATATAGATATGTTACAGTTACTGCAGACTGCTGCGATTGGGGAGGTATATATCAACCTCACCCATAATATGAATTAGGGACCATATTTAAATAACTTTAAAGTTAGCCCCACTCCCCCCGGTCAAATGCTTTCTCAGCGTCTATGAAAGAATGACTTTGTCACAGGTGTGCTCGGGTGGACCAGGAGTATTGAAGACTTAGTCAAACTTTGCCCTGAGGCCCGCCGTGGCAACAACAAGTTCCTCTCAGACTGCCTGTAATTCGCTCCTAATAAAATTAAAATCATCCATCGGATCCACCTTCACCATCCTAATTATCACAATGACTTCAGATTTAATTGAAGCCAGAATATCTGACTTCAGAGCCGACTCAACTGCCACTCCAGAGTCCGGCGAGGGCGCTGCCGACGCGCCTGCTGTTGCACCTGCCACTCCATTACTGCAGCCCGAGGCTGTAGCTGTGACAACAGGCCACGCGGGGGAAGACACTGCAGCTTTAGATTTTTCTAATTTAGAGATCAAATTACAGCTTCATCGAGTCAGTCATGCAACAGCACCAATCTCTGAGGCAGAATCCAGCGTGTAGGCAGCAAGGATATAATTATAAAAGGTACATTTTCAGCGGGGCTGATGGGAACCTAGCAAATACGCAGTTTACCGATCAGCAGCTATCTTGTATGCAAGCGAATGTGTCTCAATTTTCAAATTAAAATGGATTAATAGAAATGCTTTTCATTTTCAAAATAAAGCTGCATGTTTTGACTCATAAATAAAATAATATAATCCAAACTGCATTTTCATTTTCTTCTCCAA